CTCCGGCAGATCGATCGTGTTGGTGGATGCCTCCTGTTAAGCGCGTTAGCATTAAGCGTACTGGTCCAGTTTTGGGATTTGGAATTATATGCGGTGTTTAAGCTGTCTGGTAAGGCCGTCTAGCCAACCTTGGGCGGAAAGCTGGGGTTGGATGTGATGTACCTTGAAAGGTCCTCCACAAGCCTTTTCGAAAAACTTGGACTGAGAGCAGAGGATGATGCGGTGGACGTGGAAGACCCGGCCCTGACAAGTTATCGTAAGGTCGGAATATTTCTCCATGTCTGCCATGGCCCGCAAAGAGGAATAGAGAGGTGCCATGGTTGCAAATGGACTGGCCTCGGTGCGGGAGTGGAGAAGTTGCGGCGGTGGCGATTTTTCCTTCGCGGAGGGGAATAGCTCGGGGAAGGCTTGCTGAGCCCAATATTGACCGATAAATATATTATCTTCCAGTAGTGACTGCAAGATCTTAATAAGGTGCTGGTTCGAAAGTGCACCTGGCTGATGCTGCTGAACGGCCTTGCGGATGGCTTTGGCGTTCCGCATATAATAACGACCGTGTGACGAGAAAACCGCCTTCCAAGAAAGGTATACTCGTTTCCTTTGAGCTTTTGAATATACCATTGCATGAAACTGTAATATCGGCTTCTGGCTCAATTCCCCAGCCGTCGGTTGTAATCGAGGGAACCTCGCTCGGCCTTTGAATGGGATACCGGGAAGTGTGGGCGCCGGTCGTGGCCTTGACGAAGGGACACCGGGAAATGGGAGGTGCCGACGAGTTGTGCAATGCAAAAGCGATGCGGGCGCGTGCCTTGGCCAAGATCAGGACGTGGCCCGTGGGCAGGAAAGACTGGGCGACAGGCGATGTGCTGCGCGCAGTGGTGGGATGGTAAATAATTGCAAAATCAGAGGCCCAACCAACGAATGGGGGTGGGGGTTAGAGGTTCACGTGCGCAAGGCCGACTGCAGTGCGTTACCTAACTCCGATACTTTTAGCGAGCAGGCGCTATTAACGGACCCCGGACTGGAAGGGAATACCATCTATCCTCGCCCGCGAACAGCGCGCCCTTATCGCAGCATAAAGTAAGCCCCAGCCGAAAACATGCCCACGCCCGAGCCAAACGCCCGGGAACACTGCTCTTTACTGGTGCGCCTGCTCCTCGGCCTCCGATCAATCTTGCTTCAGAGTACCTCCCGCAACAGCCAGACATGGATTTCCGGCAATTGAGCTACCAGTTGACGCCTCAAGCACCATGAGCCTGCGTTTGTTGGGACCCGAGCAGGGGCCCGGCTGGGTGAGTGGTGCTCTAGCGACTCAGACACGAACATTTGCGGCAGTCGTTGCCCCTGCGCAAGTTTCGCCGGGCCTATGGGCGACAGGGACCTCCTCGTTCCATCGGCAGTACCAACGCCACCGCTACCATTCTTTTGCGCAGCGACAGCCCGAAGCGGGCTGATGTTGTCCGTCAAGAAAATGTGACTGCCCTCAAAGACGCCGTCATCTGCTTCAGGGCCACGCGTACGGCCTGATATTTGAGGAGCTGGAGCTAATGCCGGCTTCCCTAAGGACTCGGCGAGCGAACCCGTGTTCGGCTTGGTGCGTCGCATCCGCTGGTGTCCCCGTTGTCTGCTCATTGCCGCCGCCGTTCGCATTCTTGACGTCCGGAGCCGAGCTAGCACATCGATATCCATGGGCTCCGGTGACGCCGACGCCGACGCCGCCTCGTTGGGTGCGTCCCTCATTTCGACATCGTCACTGCCGCCACCACCCTTGGCCGCGGCTGAGGACTTTGCTGAAGACGCCCGGCTCGTATAGGCGCTACTGCTTTCTCCTCTTCCCTTCCTTGCGTCCTTCATGATCATTTTCTCGCGGTTTTTGTACCCGAAGCGCTGGGCGAACCAACTTGGAGTAGAAACCAGGTTCCGCCTTTTGGTATTAGCGTTTTCTTGTCGAACTGTGACCCCACCACAGCTCTTTTCCCATCATGTGGATCCGTGCTTCATCCGATCGGGAGGCGCCACCCGGAAAAAGGTCGATAACGGCGCACTTTTAGCACTGTCACGGCGGCCAAAACTCCTCGCTTTTAATTGGTCTAGTCTGGATGGGGGGGGGGGGGGCGGAACCGGAACCGGGCCTGGCAAATTTCAGTATGGCTGGAGGGCCCGTGCACCCACGGTGCCCGACAAAACATTGCAGATTGGATCCGGTGCAACGTACTGATCCTTCCGTTGTACGAGAGCTTCAAATAGTCAAATCTACGATATTCTATTGTAGCCTCGCCTCCTTGGTACCTTTGATCCCTAACAACCGAGGCCTTGATCTCGTTGAGATCGTCGCGCGTGAACACGGCCCCATGGCCCGCGTTGAAGAACGGGTCGTCCTCGAGCTGCAGGACCGCGTGGACGGCGGCGTCGAGGGCGCTGGGGAGCGGTGAGGTTGTCGGGATTGTGCCGATGGGTGTTGTCATGTACGTGTGCGTTTTGGATACTTAGGAGGCTTAGTTGGTATGATGGAGACTATACTACGGGGCTCTAGTGCCCGGGGAGCATACGATGGCTAACAGGGCGTTGTGGAAGGCATTATATCGATCCGGCGGGAGTTCCCCGCCGTAATGTTCCCGGCCCTGCCGTGTATGATAAGGCGCGGTGTTGTGATTAGGGTTTGTCGGTTTTATTCCATAGTTCGTATTTATTCAAGTAAAAAACGAGAATATCTACAGAGTCGAGTCTGGCTACTTGATCGCGTGTTATATAAACTCAAACGGGTCGAGGTCGGGATGTTCGGAGCCCGGCCGGTAGGGTTCCCCTATTGTTATCAAGCTTCTTATCTCCACTGGGGCTGCTCGGGCCCACATCCCTGGTGGGGATGTCTTCTCCTCACGTGATAGCGCGTTTGGAAATACCCAGCCCACGCGTCTGTCAGTGGCAATTCGTAACGCTGAGCCATCCTCAACCCAACGAGCCCCCGCCAAGACCCCGCTCGCCCGTTTGGCCAGTAGTGACTTCCGCATTTGGAACTGCAAGCACCATAAGCGATTATGGATCTGGCGATGACCTGCTCGGCGGGGACGAGGCAGGCGCAACCCTGGAACACGCAACCACCCAGGCACAGGTTATCAACACCTCGCCTCAAGTCCCACTGAAGCATCTAAATCGAGAACCCTCCAAATCCTTACCCTCAACCAGCATCGCAACCACCATGCTTGCCCGGTCGCTTCTCGCCAGGTCCCGGCGCCTTTCGCGGCCTGCCTTCCGCCAGCGGAATGCCGGCACCAGGCTGCTATATGCCACACCGAGCCGCATGAAGATCAAGTTCGAGGATGACGACGACTCCACGCCATGCCCTCGTAAAACCGAGCTGGCGCAAAAGATCCTCCGCCAGACATTTGGCCGCAATGCCTTTCGCCTGGAGCAGGAAGCAGCCATTTCCACCATCCTTCATGGCAGGAATGCCATGGTTGTAATGCCTACGGGAGGAGGCAAAAGTTTGTGCTATCAGGCAAGTCAGCGTACATATCGTCTCTTATTATCCTTCTACATCTCAGACATGTGGATCGGTCGCCTCCCATCTCACCATTGCTTGCACTTAGATAACCAAAAGCGTCCTCTTCCTAGCTTGCTAACGTCACATGCTACAGGTCCCAGCAATCGCTTTCGAAAAGCTGGATCTCGCCAGTGATGCCGGTAGGCCCAGTGGTCATGGCATTACCGTCGTCGTTTCTCCCCTCCTTGCTCTGATGAGAGACCAGGTCAACATACTCAAGCGCAAGGGCGTTGCTGCTGAGAGCATGGACTCCACCAAAACTTGGGAGCAACAGCAGGAGATCGGAGCCAAGATGCGGGACGGGACTCTGCGTCTCCTGTACTGCGCCTCTGAGCGATTCAGCAAGAGATTCATAGAGAACCTAAAGCAAGTCGCCGGTGGGGTCCGGCTTGTCGCCGTCGATGAGGCCCACTGCATCTCCGAATGGGGTCACCAGTTCAGACCGGACTATCTAAAGGTCGCCCGGTTCGTCCAGGAGGTCAAGGCCGAGCGGACCATCTGCCTTACGGCCACGGCCACGACCAACGTCATTGACGATATTTGCAAGGCTTTCCACATTGCTAAAACTGATATCTTCTGCACTACACCCTATCGCTCCAACTTACGACTTCTTGCGAAAGCCGTGGAGCGCGCAGAGGATAAGCTGAAGGAACACAAGGGCCCAACGCTGATATACGTTACAGGCCGGGAGCAAACGGTGGCCCTGGTGAAGAAGCTAGTCAAGGCTGGGCTGCGCGCTCTCCCGTTCCATTCAGGCATGCAAAACAAAGACAAGGAAGCCAACCAAGACAAGTTCATGGCTGACGAGGTCGATATCATTGTCGCCACGATCGCGTTCGGCATGGGAATCGACAAGCCCAACATCCGAAATGTGGTAAACTACGGCATCCCTGGCTCAATCGAAGAGTACAGCCAACAGATTGGCCGCGCGGGTCGGGATGGAAAGCCCAGCACCTGCATCTTCTACCTCTGCCCCAGAGACTTGGGCGATCGCGAGGTGCTCGCCTATGGCGACAGCTTAACGCGGAAAACAGTAGTCTCGGTGCTAGGAAATATCTTCGACGACGATGTCACGGCTCTTCCTCTGGATGGTGTTTTCAAACGCAACCATTTTGCCCAGGCAAAAGAATAACGTGTTCCATCAGTGAGTGGCGCACATCAGCGAGTGGCGCACCCACACCCGACCCTTGGTCAATCGACGCGCACGCCAACCCAACAACGCCTGGAATCCATTCAAACTATTCGGAACTGTATACATCAGACATTTCTACTTCCTCCTGACAGGTTCGTGCATTGTGTCCGGTTTTGCCGCAGGTGCCACATCGCCGACGAGTCGTCGTCACCCTCCTTTCCTGACCCCCATGGTCGCGCATTTCTTGCTGTAGCTGTCCATCCAGCTCCTGCTGGTCTAGAACATCTCGTACCTCGTTTACAGTAAGTGACCCTCCGAGTCGGACACGTGTTTTTTTAGCCCTCCGGCGTTTGCTTAGTGCCTCGTTCGCCCTTCGTAGCCTGGAGCACTCTTCCTCCAAAAGGTTGACCCGATGCATAATTGCCCTGGCCCCTTTCGTCAATTGGTCCACAGCCGCTAGCATGGGTGACGGAGAGCTGCTTCGGTGATTGGAGATCCGAGTTTTGATATGTTCGGACTGCGAAGTTGCGTCCCTGGCTGTCTGGGGCGTCTTGGAGGTCCAAGGTTCGGCGTCGCTCAGGGGCTCTCTCGGGGAGTTGGAGTCCGTAGCCTTACATCCAGCTTTTCCAGAACCGAATCCGGATTGAAAGGAGCAAGGCCAGCCCCTCGGAAGCCTCCTTGAATGTTTCCTTCGGTCATGGAGTAAAAGAATGCCGCTTTAAATGCCGAAAGGAATTCGACTTTGGTTACGTGATTAACGTGTGACCTTATCAAATCTTCAATTTGTCGACCGTACGCCTTTTTCAGCGGGCTGAAGCACCCAACGTCAAGCGGCTGAAGGAAGTGAGACGAATGCGGAGGCATGCAAAGCGTAATGGTGTTGTGTTCCTGGCAATAGAGCTCGAAATCCGTCGAGTGGTGGCTTTCGTGGCCGTCTAGCACTAACAAACGATGGGTGCTTTTTGTACGCGATGCGGTGTGCCTGTCGAAATGCTGAATCCATTCCAGGCCGAGCTCGTTCGTAGTCCACCCGTTAGGACTTGTTGAAATGACCCAATCGCGTGGAAGGTCGGTTCCCGAGTACCAATTGGCTAGGTGGTACTGCCCTTAACGATGATGAAAGGGGGGATTGCCCAGCCGCAACAGTTAACCCCTTGGATAACCGTAGCCCATTCCCGATTGCCAGGCTGGACCAGCTTTGCTTTGCTACGGCCTTCCGACGTTGTAATAACCATAACGGCGGCGATCATGCCCATAAGGAAGCCGGTTTCATCGAAGTTGTAGACGTCATCATCCAGGATGCCATATTTGGCCACAGTGTTCCGCACAAGGTCGAACCAGGCAGAAACGAGCTTGGGATCTTCGCACTTGGCCCTTTGGTAGTCGCACTTTCGAATCCAGCGCGTGCCGAGCTCTGGGCGGCGTTTAACGAACCGTTCGACCCAGCACTTGCCGACGGCGCCCGCGTCACGTTCGGCGAGCAATCGGTTGGCCATATCCTCAACGCCAGAAGACCGGGGAGGGAATGCGCGGGAATCCAGCTCGAGGATGTATTTGACAAGCGCCTCTTCTTCGGATTCCGTCAATTTCCGTGATTTGGGCATGCTGTCGCGTCGAGCAGATTGGCCAGCGCGTCGACGACGGCAGCGTGGTTTCAGGAACGTCGTAAATTTTGGCTGCCGAACGCGCACTTAATTTTGGATTAGATTGGATTGCCCGTATGGCAAGAACAATTCTAGCTTCGCTAGATGTCGACGCCATTTGTGGTTGTTAAGGAATTGAAGTTGGAAGTGGGAGACGCGAGTCGCGATGGAAAACGCGCCACTCGCTGATGTGCGCCACTCACTGATGGAACACGTTACGACATCCGTGATAGCCCTCTGTCGGTCATCTATGCGATACTGGAGCTGCGCTTTGGATTGATTCGCGCCATCAACCCCAAATATAGACCGTACAAGTTCTATCCTCAAAGGCAGTTCGACGCCACTATCTCGCAAGACAAGTCGCCCGCAGCGCAAGCTATCATGCAATTTTGCTCTGAGCAAGCGAAAGGTGGGGTTTACAGCATGGATGTCAAGGCCGCTGCTGGAGCCCCGAACCTCACCCTGCGAGATATTATCAACAAGCTCGACGAGTTACACGGCAGGCGCATCATCAGGCTGGCGGCATCGGGATTGGAAAACCGGTATCAGGTTATGTCCATAAAGCTGCCCCGGACGCCCGGCGAGATCGACACTTTGGCGGGCGAGATCTTTGCCACCCTGAAGCAGTATGAAGCCGACGCAGTCCAGCGGGTCGATCAGGTCATAGGTGTGGTGACAGGAGAGCAGTGCTTTTCCTACGCGCTTGCGTCATACTTCGGCATGGGCCTTCCGGGCAGCAAAAAACGCTGCGGCCACTGCAGCTGGTGTGAGACGGGCGTCGCCGTGGTGATGCCCGAGGCGCTGCCCCGGGATCCGGTCGACCTAGACCTGATCATGGAAATCCTCAACACCATCCCGGACCGCGACGACCTGCTGCTCCTAACTAAGATTGCGTTTGGCATCACCAGTCCGCGCATAATGCGGATGAGGGCTAATAGGAATCATGTGTTTGGGTCGCTGGTGGGCCACGACTTCGGCGTAGGTATTTCCAGCTCGAAGAGTTTCTTCTTGTCCTGTTTGTTCTTGATCGGCTTTGTGGTTTCATACTAACATGGCTGCCATTTCTAAACCCACCCCCTATAGGCGGTCCTCGACGAGTTCACCAAGGTCTGCAGTCAGGAGGGCGGCAAGGGTAGCACCGTCAAGCGGGAACCCTCCACACTGGCGATAAAGAAGGAACCGATGAGCAGCGCCCAGTCGGGCTGATCAACCCAAACGTCTGGTGGTCGAGGCTGGGGGCGAGGTCGGGGCTGTGGGTGGACTTGAAGCTCTTGGCTGCGCTCAGAGGCCAATACTTATGCCACTAGCTAGCCAAGCCATGGACATGTCTCTCCGCTGGCCCCAAGAAAAGTCTCAAGTGCCCATCCTTGAGGCAATTCTGTATGACGGCAATCGCCCAAAGCTTATTTTGAGGGATGTAGCTCACGGGGGTGTGTAGCATCAGGCACTATCCGATAGCAAACTACCTCATAGTAGGGGCGAGAAAATGCCCGCGAGTCCCCCCGCTGGGGCTTTTGTTACAAAGCCAAGATTCTTATCAGTGATGGCCAACAATATTCTTGGTGCTGAAAAAGTCTAACAATTAAGAGTCTCACTATCACGGGGCGACGCGAGAACTAGGTAGCATGGTCTGATATTCGTGGTTGCACAAGGAATGCAACATCCATCGTGGCCTGGATGCGGGAGCTATGTCATGGGCATCTGGTGGGGCGGAGCACGTGTCTACCCTCCGGAGTAGTGGTTGCCTTGCACCACCCCCAAGCACCGCGTAGCCCGCGAGGCCGGTACACGACGCTTCCCCTTGGCCCAAGCGAGGCCTTCCCTCTGGCCCCTGCCACGAGGCCTGACGAGCAAGCGATTCGATCCATTCAATTCACCCGACGAGGGGCGGCCCCGAGGCCTGCCCAGGCCCTCCCTGCAAGATTCGAAAGAGACGCCCACGCGTGGCGCCAGGCACAGCCTGCGAGAGCCCTGCCCGGCCAAGATATACGGCTGGGAGGATCACACAACATGGAGGAACACATGAATTGGGCCCTTTGTATTTGCAGGACCTGGAGGCGCACAACGAGGACGTTGTGATTTTTTTGTGCCCGGCATTTGTTGCGGCGATTGGGGGGTCCAGCTAGATATCACGTGACCCCATCCTCCATATAGCCTTTCCCACAGATCCGGCCCTTCGGGCCTGGCCTGCACCACAATTCATCTTTTTGCTCCCTTCTTTTGTCCCTGCCCTCGTCACCGTGACATTCTCTTCCGATTACAGTAATCCACGAGGCTATCACTCCGCCGACACCTTTAATAATTTCCCTCATCCAAACATACAATTGACGGTTTTGGAATTGACCAATTATAGGCGTAGTGACCAAACCTGTATGAAGCGGGGGCTGGTATCGCCAATTAACGCCAACAACGGAGGCCGCAATGACTAAAAGGTGCATGGAGGGGCTGCCTTGGATTTGCAACCTCCGTCCCCGAGTCCATCTATAAGATGCCTTTTCCAACACCTGGGTTTGTCTGCCTACCTCTACAGACATCCATCATTCTCAAACATCTGTTCACCTCTAGAACTAGATCAGCCCCTGCTTCCTCTTTTTTTCCCTTCTCGCCCCCTGGACTTGTATAACACCGCAATGGACCGACTCGAACCTCACCGATCTCTCCTCAAGACGCTCTGCATTGAGTAGGGCTTGAAAATGGATCAAATTATGTCGAAAATGGAAACTGAATATGGGATTACCGCAGGGTAGGTTCATGTCCCTTCATAATGCCCTAACCATACATAGTAGAAGGATGCTGACCTAGACACAAGACGAAGCACCTACGAGCGTATGTTTAAGAGGTGGGGACTTAGGAAGAAAAAACGAGGCACAGACTGGGAGTGGGTTAGTCTAAAATTGGAAAAAAGGCGGCTCGGTGGCCGCGATAGCGCTTTGTACATTCAGGGCAACCGGATACCACAGGCGACTGTCAAGAAAGAGATAGCTCGCTATGTGACCACACTGTAACAAGCATGTCTCGCAGCGGGAAGAGGTATGTTCGAGCCCAGAAGCCGATAGAAGACTGATGCTGACAGCACAGCCCCGAGCCCGGGAACGCCCGGGGGCTACCACATCCGAACACCTTCACCTACCACTTCGATGGCAACGCAGAGTCCAGCAGCCACGCCTGGCGGCAATTGCAATGATATGGATCAGTCCGTCGGCCACGACAGATCCGGAAGCGAAGCACCAAGGCCACGCTTGCCCGATGAGTGTATCGAGAAGTGCCTTGCCGACGCGGCTCGCACCTTATTGAGTCTGTCAGGATCTAGCCGATGTGCCTAGAGCGAATCATCAACGCTCATGCTTGACAGGCTAACTGGAAGATTTAAACTTTCGCGCCGGGAGACTCGACTTTGATGGTGTCGATCCCGACCTGGGCTTCCACCTATTGTCTCTGCACTGGTAAGGTCCGGCCGGCTCGCCTTATCTCCTTTGCCCTCCACATTGCTGTAGCTCCCGTGCCAGCCGGATCTAATACTAACAACACTGCCCGTAGAAACCGCCAGCACCATTGCCTTAGAGTTAGCGACAGGTTTTTGCTCTATATCACTTTTAAAATTTCGTTTAATAACCCCTACTAAAAGCCGCATCGCCGACCTCCCCGCCAATCCCAGCCGTATTGCCGTTCGCCGGCCCTCAGAAAGAGCCAGAGCACCATTAAATGCTACAATTGTGGGATAATTTCCACCCTTTGTGGTGGAGGGACGAAAGCGGTCATACCGTTTACGATGCATGTGGTACGTATTTGGATCTAGCTTGGGGGTGGAACGCGAAAACATTCCTGACTGACCGTCCTTTTCCTGCCCAGGATTATACTGGAGGCTTAAGAGTGCCCTTAGACCTGCCGAGATGAATAAACTTATGGCTAAGCGGAAGCGGAAGCGGACAATATGCTCCATGTACCGCAAATCGATCGAGAAGAGGCAGCAAATGGCGTCGACACCGACAGTAACAACGGCAGATCAAGTAACTCGGCCTGCAGCACGATGGCCACGCCGTCTGAAATTCTCCATGCCGGAACACGGGTCGTTGGGGGTCCGACCTCGAGTTGCATCGATCGATAAATGCCTCCAAGCATCGGTTAGTCAGCACGTCAGCCCAGGCTGACGTGCTGACTAATTACACAACCAATAGGAATGAGTCATTTTGCGCCAGCCTATTTGAGCTGAAGCAGCTCCACTTGTTGCTGTAGGGTAAATTTCACCAGTTCTGTTTCAGCGACATCTTCCCAAGCCCTTCTGGGGTACGCCTTGCCTTCCCGCAAAGCTGCCAGAAACTCGTCCGCCACCTCTGCCAATTGTGAACCAATACCCCTCGCTGACTGCTCCTTCAACTGTTCCATCTCGTCTTGCCCAACCCTTTGGTAATCCCGAAGTGCTATACCGTCGTCCAGTTGTCCATCGAAGGGAAGCATGGCCATAAATGCTCCCAAATTTTCTAATTTCCCTGCTTCTGAAAGGCGATTTTTGAACGCACCATATGATAAGGTAGCAACTTCTGCATGCGCTCTTTGAAGCACATCTTCAAAGTTGCGCTTTCTGTTCGCCTTCTCCTTCTCAAGGTTGATAAGCTTATTAGCTGAAGCCCATGCTATCCATGACCTTAAGCCACAGTAGCTAGCTGACTGCTTAGCCTGAATCGCAATCTTGCAATATGCAACTGCTGCGCAGACTCTATCTTCTTCCTTGACCTTTAACTCTGGAAGCCGTCCATTTTCCCTCGAAGCTCTAATGTGACCCCTTAACCGTGCGATAGCGTTTGCGTCGCGTAGATGTTCCGCCATGATGGCTACGGGACGGGGCTTTCGCTTGGATTGTGGCTCGTCGGACGGCGGTTCATTTGAGCCAGCAGCGCGTTTGTTTCTCCGTAACCTTGGTGATTCGACGGTTTTGCCCTGCTGCTCGTCGCACTCGTGCTGCTTTCCGCTTGTGCCTTTTGCCACTCTCGGTGCGTTTTGCCGTGCACTGCGCAGGGTTGCTATGGCCTGGGGAGATGGAGTGTTTTCCTTCTGCTTCGCTGGTGGCTCGTCTTGCAGCCCGTCTTGCCCGTCCTCTGGTTCGTGTGATTCTGGGTTTCTTTGTCTAGTGTGTATTGCTGACCCTCGCTCGCCTGCGGAGCGTTTCCTCTTTTGAGGGCCCCTTGGGGAGCCCATGGAAGCCTTGGCAGGCGCAGGGCGCAAAGTGGCGACTTGCCTTGGGGACCGCCGTAGGGCAGAACTAGCCTCCTCATCAGCAGGGGTAGTCTCTGCCTCGGGGGGGAAGACTAGCTCGCGCGTGATCGGCTCCTGATCTTTGTGGCAGCGTCCATCGCAGGGCTTGTACTCCTCTGAGTAAGTGTACAGCTGATCGGCGTAGTTGACGGCTTCGGCCAGAGAGTCCGCCGCACTGAAACCAGAGTGGTAGGCACCCG